CTCACTAGGAACAAGAAAGCACTAAAAAAAGTCCTCAAATTTGGTTCTCCATTCATCACCCACCCCAAAATACCTTTTGAAAATTGAAGTCCATTTCTGTCCAATGCTCACAAGTCCCTTTATAGGACAAATGCACTGAAATACTCATTGAACCAAATGTAATAGCTTACTGTATATACTCATATATAAATCTAGAAAAATCTACCCAAGAAACCTGGGTTGACTGATCCATGGGTCAGTGAAAGTATTTTACCTTAATTATTCCTATCAAAATAGGAACTGTTCCTTTTTCTGGAAAAAGTGGCAAAAGGCAAGAGCTCAGTCCATCCAGGAAGAACCTGCCCTCAATGGATACATGATATTGACTTATACAAAAGTATATGCAGTAGTTTTTAAATCATGTATAATTTGGCCCTGTAGTACCAAAATGACACAAGGGGGTGGGTCCCTGCTCTTAGTGTGAGTCTGATTTTCTGGCTGAAGAAGTAGAGTAAGAAATGTAGTAAATGTAGAAGGAAAAGTTGGGGCTACAATTCTCAGAATCCTCCAGTCATGATGGCTAGAGCATTTTAGGAGTTGTAGTCCATAAAAAAGAAATAGATCCCAAGCTCTGTATTTTAGTGGTGAAATGCCTAATATTTGCTGAGGGCAGAGAACAACAGCATCAGCTACAATAGCAAGAAATACAAGGTCTTTAAAAAAAAAGTTCGCTTCAGTAAACTATTATGTCAAGTTTTGCAATTCGGATGGGCTAGCGGCATTTGCTCTGGTGGCCTTCTGTTGATCCTGCTTTTTGCGTTTGAGGCGGAGGAACACAATCCCCAGAATGACACCTGGAAGGACAAAACAAAAACTGAAATGTTTAAATCATACTTTAAGCCGGCCTCCCCCAACTGAGGACCCTCCAGGTGTGTTGGACATCAACTCCCATTGTCCCCACATACCACAGGAGTATGCTGTCTGGGAACAATTGTAGTTGTAGTTCAAGACATCTGGAGGGTGCTGGGTTTGGAAAGACAATGTAATAGCAAACTAAACTTTTCAAATGCCTTGCAGGTGAAAAAGAGCCACACTTTTACAGTACAATCTTATGCATATCTATTTCCTCTTTAGTAAATTATTTTCTGTACCCTGTTAAATGAATTTAAGATTACAATATTAACACTGCAATCATACCCATATTTGCAAGGAACACCCACTTAATCTACGGAGTCTTATGTCCAAGTAAGTATGCACTTGGGTGTTTCAGAAGTGTCCATCAGTCTATTCCAAAAAGAAAACGTTGGTATTGCCATTTTATATAAGAGACACCATTTTACTGTGCCATTGTATTTAGAGGGATTTGAGCATCCACGGATTTGGTATCCATGGGGGTTTCTGGAAACAAACCCCAGAGAATATGAAGGGTCCACTATAAGTTAAATCAGCTGGTAGTGGCCAGTGAGATTTAATGCCTCTGGATGTACTGAGGGTCCTTTCTTTCAACTGAGGATTTCACTCTGGTTGGATACAACTGGAAAATGCAATATATTTCAAATTAATATTTCATAAATGATATAGAAGGTAAATGATGTTATAACCAGAGACGCTTATGGTATTTACATACCTTACCCTCCTAAAAGACCTCATTCAGCATAACCTGAGCTGCTAAGTACATATTAAGTCAGTCAAGTTTGGAGTTTTATTTGGACTTGGGTCATTATCTTTTCATGTTCTATGTATCAGTGATGTGAACAGTTTCTTTTGTTGCATAGAAATCTGGTTTATCCCAGCTCAGACTGTTTTGTTCTTCTGGCACGGTTTTATCTGTTCTGGTTGGCAGCAAATGTTCAGGGTCTCTGGCAGAGCTCCTTCCCTTTAATACCTACTTGACCCTTTAAATAGTAACAAATTGTGATTAGCGTTAGAACTTTTGGTAGGCAAAGCATGTGCTTACTGTGACTAGTGACTACAATCCCTCCCGTAGCTAAGATACGTTCCCTCTCACAGTAATAAGTTTGCCTTATTTAATTCAAGACCGGCTGAAGCTCCTCTTCTAAGACTCTGAGCAAGAAAATGGGAACCAGCATTCAAAAGCTCTGGTCACTTCCAGTTACACTTGAACAGAGTAGTGGGTAACAGGGAGATTCAATGTGGTGTGTATCAATTAGAGTGGTCCTTGAGAGATCCATGCTTTAATCTCCACGGAGCACTGACAGGTGGCTTTAAACCAGTGCTTCTCAAATAGTGGGGCGTGCCCCCCAGGGGGGGTGCGAGGCTCCTTAAAGGGGGGCGTGAACACTGGAGATTGTCCCAGTGCAGCCCCAGTAGCAGCCCGACATGCTCTATCCTGATTGGCCAAACCCACCCATGTGACTATTTACAGCCGCGCAGGGGGGCGAGAAATGTTTTCTTCTTCCTAGGGGGGGGCATGACAGAAAATAATGGAGAAGCACTGCTTTAAACCAATCACTTTGTCCGCTTCAGCAACCTTAAAGAGTTGTAAGGATACAACAGGGGAAGAGAAATACTATGCACCATGCTTTGAGAAAAGGTGAAATATAAATGTACATAATACTATAATCCATAATAATATAATCCTGATCAAGGCTTTTGATATTAAAGTGAATGAGGCTTTCACTCAAATTTCAAAAAATAATCTAAAATCTCACATCAAGGAAATTGAGGCATTAACAAGTAACACCACTTCCATATCCTTGGAGGGCACGGTGGATGATAGCTTTCACCTCATGAGATGTTTTGGTTTTTTTTCTTCTCTCTCTCTCTCTCTCTGTTTTCCCTATCCCCATGATTGTCTCAGCTCCTGGCCAAAGAACAGAACAGCATGGATCTAGGTTTATTTCCTGTTGGCTGTTATTTCCTAGTATTGACTCATGATTGATTTCTTTGCTTCCGTACTAGAACTAAGATTGTACAATCATGATAAGAATTTAGAGGCATAGTCATGTTAGTCTGAAATAGCAATAGCAAGTAGCAAGTGGTGTACTAAGCAGTTTACAAAATGTAGGATAATTGCCCCCAATAAGCTGGGTACTCATTTTAGCGACCTAGGGAAGGATGCCAGGCTGAGTCAACCCAGAGCCCTTGACTGGTATTGAACTCACAACCTTGTGGTTTAAGAGTGAATGGCTGCAGTATAGGCATTTAACCACTGAACCACCAGGGCTCCCCTGTCAGTATGCAAAGGGATCTTGTAGCACTTATGAGACTAACTGAAGGGCGAAACAGATGGCGCAAAAGGTCCACACGAGGACCATGGCAACCACACACACCCAGCCTTGATCTGGGCCACCACTGCGGTCCTGAGCCAGATGTCAAAAAGGAACTGGAATAGCGTGTCCAGTTCTGGGCACCACAATCCAAAAAGGATGTCAAGAAACTGGAACATGTTCAAAGGAGGGTGACTAAAATGGTGAAGGGTCTAGAAACCATGCCCTATGAGGAATGACTTAGGGAACTGGGTATGTTTAGCTTATGAAGAAAAGATGGTTAAGAGGTGATATGATAGCCCTGTTTAAGTATTTGAAGGGATGTCATACTGAGGAGGGAGCAAGCCTGTTTTCTGCTGCTCCAGAGAACAGGGCCCAGAATAATGGATGCAAGCTACAGGGAAAGAGATTCCACCTAAACATTAGGAGGAAGTTCCTGACAGTAAGGGCTGTTGAGTGGAACACACTCCCTCGGAGAGTGGTGGAGTCTCCTTCTTTGGAGTTCTTTAAACAGAGGCTGGATGGCATCTGTCAGGTATGCTTTGATTGGGAGTTCCTGCATGACAGGGGATTGGACTGGATGGCCCTTGTGGTCCCTTCCAACTCTGTGATTTTATGATTCTATTATTTTACTGCTTCTTTTTGGGGCAGTTCTTTCAGAAAGAGCTGTGCCCTGGGCAGCATCTGGCCACATTTGGGATATGCATCATTTGAATGCCATGCCCCCAACATGGTCCAACAGTGGCCCTTTGGGGCTGTCTGTTTGAGGCCCAAGTAAAAGAAGCTGTAGCATAAGTTTTTATAGACTTGGTATGTTTTCTTAGATGCATGGAGTGAAATGTTGCCCAGGAAGGACATATGAATAGCCATAGAAGTGCAAAATGTGTGGATATGGTGATGAAGTAACAAGTCTGTTGGTATGGTCATTGAGGGACAAAGGCAGAAGGAAAAATATTGCCTAAGACCAGGGTGCATGGATGACATTATGAATGATGGAGGAAATTTTGGAATGTGGTGTATCAACCCAGCCAAACTCCCTCCATCATTCATATGGTCATCCAGTCAACCTCACCTTAGGCAACATCTTTCCTCCTGCCTTTGTCCCCCAGTGACATAAGTAAGATTGAAGTTGTCACCTCATCACCATACCCACAAGTTTTGAATTTTCTATAGCTATTCATACAGTTTGATTATAACGTTCCTTACTGGGCACTAGTTCATTCCTTGCATCAGAGGAGTAGACCAAGTCCACAAAAGCTTATGCTGCAGCTTCTTTTGCTTAGTTAGTCTCAGAAGTGCTACAAGGTCCTTTTGTATACTAAATCATGATATGAGTTCTTTTTTCTTTTCTTTTTTCTTTTTGTCATGGTATCTCCTTTGGTTTTCATGTGCCCTTTGTACATTAAGCTGCTTTATTTTATCCATGCTTTCTCACTGCTATTAATCTATAAAACCAAATCTTAGTTAACTCAGACTGCTTCCAACAATTTTTCAAGAATCACAGTGCTCTGAATATTTGTTTATATTTAATTACGCATTTGGGGGCCATATTCCTCTGTTGGTCAGTCATCCTGGCTCCTTTGGTGTTTACATTTGTTTTCAAAAATTCTGTCTTGTTTTGGAGAAGGATTCTGTCTTGTTTTGGAAAAAGGGCAGTTGAGTTTGTTTAAGTTCTATCAACTTTTGCCTTTCAGACACGGCACAGCGAAATCTAGTATTATAGTTATGTTTTGTTCAGCAGAAACATAATAAATTTTATCAAAGTTATCATATTGTTGAGCTTATAAAGGAAGGGCCATAGCTCAGTAGTAGAATACATGCTTTGTGTGCAGAAGGTCCCTGGTTCAATTCCTGGCAACCCCAGATAGTGTTAGGAAAAACAGAAATGCTAGAGAATTACTGCCAGCAGCCATGTAGGCTGTGGAGTTGTCATCCAAAAAAGTAACTTTTTCAAGATCTTGTTCTGGCTCTGTGTAAGGCAGCTTCCTGGATTCCTGAATATAGAAAAGTGTAACTCTCTGGGAGAGCAAATTAGATAAAGTCTGTAATGACTTTATCACACGGGCAAAAGAAATGTGGTATTAGTGCTATTCTCCCGCAACAGGAGTTGGCAACCTACAGCCCGGGGGCCGCATCCACCCCCCCGAGGCCTTTGGACCGGCCCCAACCTGGTCCTGCCGCCGCCCCCACTGCCACATGCTGCCACTGCCGCGCGCGCCGCCACTACACAAGTCGCGGCTGCCATTTTGTTTTCCAAAATGGCACTGCAATTCATTTGCACATGCACCAGAGTACTGCGCATGTGCAAACGAGTCGCAGCCACCATTTTGGAAAACAAAATGGTGGCCGTGACTCATTTGCGCATGCGCAGTACTTCTGGCATACTGCGCATGCACATGCAAGCGTGCACGCACGGCACCATTCCCCCCCCCCGGCCCGCAGAAGACCTCAGGACCAGCGGACCGGCCCCAGGTAAGGAAAAATTGCCTACCCCTGTCCCACAATATCCCGTAAATATCACACAATAATGCTATGTTTTTCACATGACGTCATCATTATTGCACAATTATCCCATGAATAAAGTGACAATATTGTGCCGCTTTTTATTTACAGGATTTTCCCAGAATAAAAAGCAGTTCAGTGTTGCCGCTTTATTCAGGGGATAATCGTGCAATAATGACGATGTCATGTGAAAAGCGTAACATTATTGCACAATATTTATGGGAGATTGCAAGGAGCATAGCACTAATATCCCATTTCTTTTGCCCATGTGATAAAGTCATAAGAAACTGGTTAAAGGTGTGCAAATGTAAACATAATACTTTGTTTTGAACACAGTGTGCTGAAAAATGCCATGGTCATGGCTTGCTACTGTGATATTTATTCATAGAATCATAGAGTTGGAAGAGACCACAAGGTCTCCAGTCCAACCCCCTGCCATGCAGGAACTCCCAATCAAAGCACTGAATATAACATATTTTCTTTCCCTCAGAGGATTCTTCTCCGAAAACTTTTGAAATTGACATTGATTAATACTACGATGAATTTCTATCCACTTGGCAAATTTGTATCTCATCCTTTCTTTAAGGAGTACAGGAGAACCATTACCTGAAATGAAACTATATAATTTTCTCCTCAAACTTCAATAAAGTAGCTTTGATAACTCACTGAAAGCTATCTATACTCTACATAGCCATGCAAGTGACTTGAACCCAATGCCACAGGTCCAATTTTGTGACCTTACATTTCTATTGTATGCCTTCTTTTCCCACTCCCTTCTTTATGGCTGCTGCCATACTGCCATATCTTTTTCAAACTGACACAAACACCATGGGTCAACCTGCCTCTCTCACCACCCATTATGCTTTAGCAGCTACTTTGTACTAAAACGCCATTCCAGCTTCTCAGGTGGAGACAAGGTTGCTCTGTCTTTCATGCAGTTGTGGTTCCAAGTTCCTGTGTAACTCATTGCCAAAATGAACTCTAGATTTTCACCTTCAAACCACTTTACTGTAGAAGCTAGAGCCAGGGGTAGGCAACCTTTCCCCTTTAAGAGTCGAGGGACTTCAGCTCCCAGAATCCCAGGAGCTATTGGCCAACATGGGACTATTGGCCATCATGGCTGAGGCTTCTGGGAGCTGAAGTCCCTTGGCCCTTAAAGGGGAAAGGTTGCCTACCCCTGAGCTAGACCATTGGAACGGTAAAAGACAGGCATGTGCTGAAACATCTATTCATCCAGAAAATTTACAAGGTGATCTTCAGGCAGTTCCTGTTTCTATCAGAGCTTTGCATAGACTCAGGTCTTGAACTTTTAGTGGGGAAGGTATAAAAAAGCTTCATTTTCAATCCCCAGCATCTGAAAGAAGGGTTGGGAAGGATCCCTGTCTAAAAACCTGGAGAGCCTGAGCTTCTCAGGATAGATCAGGGCAAGCTGGAGAACATATGTCTCTCAAAATATTGTTGGCCTGTGGCTCCCATTAGCCCTGGCTGGTAAGGGATCCTGGGATGTGCCATCCAACAACAAATGGAGGACCACTCCTAGTATTGGTATTACTGAGAGAAATAGACCAAGAGTGCAATGTAATCATAGGCTTATTACCCACCCATCCTACTATCAACTAATGCTTTGAATCTATCGTCATACTCCTTGCCATCTCTTGCTGACTGAAAAGAGAGCTATTCTTAAAAAAGAAACTTTCCCAAAGCTCTTAACAGGATATACTCAGTGAATACATATTGTCCAAACACATCCTCTTCACTGATGTAGGTTTTCGTTATTGTCCATCCCCTAATCCAGCTGGAATTATTAATGCAAATGGATGAATAACTCCAGTAACCTGGACCATAAGCATCCCATTTAAAACAGCCACTCACCAATAACGACCAATACAGCAACCAAAATGCCAACTGCCATTGCCACTGTTGGAAGTGAACTGGGAGGATCAATTTCTAAGAAGCACCTTTCCTCTACACACCGGCACACTTTCACTGTGGGACAAAAGGTACAGTTTTGAGGAGTCAGAGACAATAAAACTGTCATGCACCAGGAAAAAAGAGAGCAGTAAAGATCATGAATGTGATTTTCACTGTACCTTGCAGATAGACAACTCCTTGCATAGGTGGCCTTCCATTGTCATTAATTTGTATTGGTATGTTATAGCTTTTCTCTTCAAGATTAATGTTCTTTGGAGAAATGTAAGCGTGCAGGCCTGTCATTCCAAACAGTGTATCAATTAAACATACAGTTTAAACAGAAAAATGAAAACAGTGCTGAATAACCCCAGCAGCCTGGAACATAAGCATCCCATTTAAAACAGAAGAAGAGGAGGGGTGATTAAAGAAAGCTTCCATTCATTTGGCACAATACAAGCAAATGCTCAGATCTTCATTGTAACATTAGTTTCAATTGGACAAGTTTAATTATCAAACAGATGACTGGTAGGTTTTTTGTGGGTTTTTTCGGGCTGTGTGGCCATGTTCTA